GGGCGGGGCCTGGCGCCGGGCGCGCGCGCGGGGCGGGGTTCAGGGAGGCGGCTCGCGCATGCGCGTGGCTCCCTCAGGGCTGCTCGCGCGACGCAGCGCCCGGCAGTGCAACGTGCAGTGCAACTGCTGTGCAATGCAACTGCTGTGCAGTGCAATGCAACACTGCAGTGCAACGCAACACCGTGCAATGCAACGCAGCGCCGTGCACTCCTCTGCAGGGCTACACAGCGCTCTGCCCTGCAGTCCAGTGCACTGCAAGGCAGTGTCTGTGCGCTGCAGTGCTGGGCAATGCTGTGCCACACAGCTCTAGGCTGTGCAGTGTGCTGCAGTGCGGGCAGCTCAGGGAGGTTCAGGCCTGTCCCAGCTGGCTGAAGGCAGCTACAGGCTGGTGCATGTGACAGGCACAGTGCAGATCTGGCAATGCAGAAAGGAGCAATGCAGGTGGCTGCTAGCACAGGGCATTTGAACTGCAGAGGGCAAAGTCAGTCCCTGTCTGCAGAGGGCTGATCTTTCTCCAGGGTGATGTAATTAATAACAGCAGGAGTCCAGATGCCCTGGGTTCACATGGGGTCTTCAAAGTCACCTGGACAGAAGACATTTCCTGGGCAGAAGGGAGCTGCAGTCCACAGGCAGTAACCATACAGGGGCAACACCGGCCTCTGGCAGATGCAACTAGGACCAGGGAGGCAGATAAACAAGCACAGCTCTGACAGTGGAGCTGGATAATCCCACTTCGATTATATTTTAATGGAATAATGCTTTCCCTTGGGCAGGGCTTGGCCAAAGTGTGATGTGTGTAAGGAGAAAACCTGTACAGTTAAGGCAACCCAAGAGGGATTTTCTAGGGGTGCCTCAGGGAAGGCAGGAGCTGCTGCCGAGCTCAGCCTCTTGATGACATAATAAATTATTTCAGAGAGCACTGTTAATTAACCTTCTTTGAATATCCTGTCTCCTTAATTAAATAACAATTTGCAGTGCTTATATCTGTCAGTTTTTATTGGTACCTTTATCCTCTTTCCAAAGCAGTTTCTTCCTGTGGGCATGGAGGTGGCTTTTGGTGTTACAGCCCTGTCCTGGCTCCCAGAGAAGATGGGTCAACAGGAACAATGCAGCTGAAGAAGAGAGAAAATGTGGGTTCATTCAGATAAAACCCTCCAAGGAAAATCTAGATAGCAGTAAAATCCCAAATTCCATCCCCCATGTGATGTCAGCATGCTTCTCCTTAAGGAACCTTTTAACTGGGGAAATTTGGCTCCAGGTGACCATTTAGCCTGTGACACGTTCCTTGGGGAAGAAGTCACAGTACATGAATATCTTAGAGAGGTGCCCTGCACAGGGAAAGGGGACACTGGAGCGTTTTGCTGCAGTTTGGAGCCCTGGCAGACTGCCCAAGGAGCCCTGCAAACACCTCTGACCACAAATAAAATTGCAACTTCATTGAACTTCTCCTTATTTCTTTATATTTGACCTGGAGGATGCCTCTGCTTGTCTTGCAGTGGCTTGCAGCTGCCTGGAAAGGAAAAACCTGAACTGAGATTTTGGAGAAAAAAGTAAAACCCTCCCACTTGGTGCCTTGGATTGACTGACAAATACAGCAGCACACTGGGATGCATCTGAGGCCCCAGCCAATGTGCAGCATCCAACCACAGGGACAGCTGGACTGCAGCCCAGCTGGCTGTGCACTGGATTAAGGGCACTGGTGTTGGCAGCCCTCCCTGGGCTATAGATAGCCATGCTGCACCTCTGCCCTGGGCCTCCCATGGGACAGCAAGAGAAGCAGCAGGAGAGGATGGATTTCCCCTGGACACCCCCATCCCTGCCACAGCAACCTCCCCTTGCACTTTGCACAGCTCTGGGTTTCCTCACAAAACCCCAACTCCCAACTCTTTTGGAACCAAATTGCTCTAGAGAACCAGTGGATGCTGGAAGTCTTGGCTCTGAGCAGCAAGCTGGGAGGCAGCGGTTGGCATGAGGCCCCTTGTCTGCACCTCTCACCCTGGGGGGAAGGTCAGCTCTGGCTGCCAGATGGATTTTGTCCTTCCCTGGACAGCATGACTGTATTTTGCAAATCTCTGTTTGTGTCAGGCATTTGCAGAAGCACAGCTTTCCTGTATCAGTGTGCACAGGCCCAGATTTCCCCTCTCTAAGCAGACAGAGACCCTTCTTCCACATCCCGACCTGGATTTCATCCCAGTTCTTCTGGGAACGCAGCCACAAGCCTTTTGAAGGCAATGTTAGAGCTCCTGATCCCACTGTGCATAGGCCCTAGATAAATCCTGACACATCCCAGGGGCTGTTTTCAGGGAGATGACTCAGAGCTGTTGCCTCCTGGGATGGAGGGACAGGGCCAGGCAGGATTCCTCAGTGCCCAGGGCCAGCACCTGCCGGCTCCACAGGGAAAAGCAGCCTGGGGCTGGGGGTTCAGCTTGGGGCAGCAACTTCATTGGGAGGTCTCCAAGGGGGTGCCCAGGAGGGTTTGGGGAATGGGTTTAAGGCTATGTTGGATAGAGCTTGGAGCAACCTAGTCTAGTGGGAGATGTCCCTGCCCATGCCAGGGGTTGGAACTAGGTGATCTTTAAGGTCCCTTCCAACCCAAACTGTTCTATGGACAGCAGGTCCCCTGCCCCAGCCTGTGCCCTCGCCCAAGGACGAGCTCCCTTTACCAAAATGACTACTACCCTTGGCAGCTTTTTCTGCCTTTTCTATGTTCAAGTCAACCAAAATATTAATATGCTCAAATTCTAAAGACTAACACACTTCAAAAATTAATGCCTTAAATGCAACTATTCTCCTTTTTAATACACCTGCCATCCCCCTGCTGAAAAGGGATAGAGCCCAGCTGAAACCTGGGGACAGTTCATAGCGGGCTCTGCAGCAAGTTCATCTTTTGGGACTGCAAACTCTGGGAGGATGTGGGGTGGGGACCCAGCTCTGTCCTCACCCACATCCTGCCTTCATGCCAACACCACCCTGCTCGCTGGTTAACATCACTTTGCAGAGGTGTTACATACAAACCGGGGGGGGGCTTTTTTTTTTGCATGCAACATGATTTCTGTTAAAGGGAGAAGGGACTTTTTAGAAGAGACGACACCTAACAAGCTGCATCCATGGTATTTCCAGCTTCAACACCCTGAGACGCCGAAGCCATCCTTTGGACACAAGAGGGAGTCCTGAATCACCAGGAGAGTCTCTCCTTTGGTTGCTGTGGATTAAAACGCTTTTCCCTGCGCTGGGAAAACACCGGTCATCACTTGGAGGCCTTTGGCATATTCTTCTCTCCACGGTAAATCCAGGAGAGTGGATTCCCGTTTCCAGTGGCCACAGGTTGGCTTACTGGCTGGAGTCCCAGTTTCCCAAACAACAGAGAATTCTCCCCAAAATCAAGCCCAGCTGACAGCCACCCCCACAAATTTTGCAACCCCCTACATGCAGAAAATGGAGGCAAAGCTCCATCTGCTCCAATCTTCTCTGTGCTGTGGCATTGGAACTGCACATTCCCATCAGCTCCTCTGAGATTTGCTTCTCTGAGGGCATCAGCTCCAGCTGCAGATCCCCTTCCAGCAGCAATATTCCCTGTGGGCTTGGGGACAGCTGCTAGAGACCCTAGCACTGCCTGTTCCCACTGCCTCTGGGGGATATTGCTGCTGGAAGGGGATATTTTGGGAGGCATGACTTTCCCGTATTACTCAGTTTAATTAGGCAGAGTATAATCTTTCTAATGCAGCTTCCAGCGGGAAAACACAGAGGAGGTGGAGGTGACACAGTGGCATGTGTCCAGTCAGGACAGCCAAGTTTCACAATATGTCAGCAAAGATCCTGCCAAAATCTGGCTGAAAGGGCTCCCTCCTTCCCACATCAAAGTCACAAGGAACCCTGCAGCTGCCCCAAAGCAGAGCTGGGGCTGGCCCCGGACATGCCAGCCTCCAGCTCAGCAGCGTCCCCGTCCCAAGGCACGCAGGCCAGGCACTCCTGCAGGGACGGGGATGGGATGGGGATGGGCATGTGGGGCTGTTGGTGGGCTGGTCACATCCGCCGGGGCGGGCAGCCCCCTATATCAGCCGGGCTCGGGGGCAGTGCTGGCAGAGAGCGACCCGGCCCCCGGCCCCTCGCCCACCCTCTGCAGCCATGGATGACATTTATAAGGCAGCGGTAAGTGCCTCCTTTCGGGGCTGGCGGGGGGGGGCACCAGGACTAAAGGGTTTTCAGGCATTTTACGGTACATTTCCCACAGCTGTGACAGAGTTAACTCCATGGAGAAATGCAAATAAGACATAATTATAGAGTGGCATCTTTTAGTCAGCATCACCGTTCAGGACGCAGACCTTTCCCACCGATGGCTCTGAAGGTTTCACGCTCCTCTTGTAAGCGTGAAACTCCCAACCGTGCTGCTAAATTATTTACAGTTACTTCCCTGGTTCTCTGCTGTAGGGCAGGGAGATGGCCTGGATGTGAGGTTGCAAATCTCAACAAAATCTTGGCTGCTGGTTTTAGCCAAGACAAAGCAGAGCAGCATTTCACACAAAACGATTATTCGTGTGGATTAAATCTCACCCTCTTTTCTGGTTCTTTTTAAGTCTGCCAATGATACATTTCCCCCTTCCTTAGCTCTTTTTCTAGATTTTAAAAAAAACAAACCTTGGGCTTTTGTAAGCTATTTCAAACATCCTCCTCTGCTTTGCCACTCCTGCAGAAATCCAGAATGTGAGCTATGCTCTCAGGGAACGCAGAGCATCCTACTGGCTATTTTAACTTACACAGCTGCACGATGTGCTCACTGTGTAAACCCAAACTATTTGGTCTGTAATAAAGACCCTGCATTATTTTGTAACCTAGACAGACAGCAATATGCAGGTGGAATAAGGATGAAAATAGATTTTGGATTGTGTGAATTACTATTGTGTTCCTTCCTTAACTGGAGTTAAAATAAGAGCCTTTTGGTGATTTAAAAATAAAGATATAGTTGATCAGGTTTAATGGCACAAAAAACAGATCATACAAGTCCTATTTTAATTACAAGGTTTTTAAAGGGAAGGGAGATAATGCTTGACACATAACTGAAGAAAAAAAAAAAATGCTCACACCTCTCCTGTCCTTTGATCAGTCCTGAACCTGTGAAATGGAAACCCCCAATTGATCCCAATAGTGTGAAAAGGCTCAGGAAAGGCTCTACAATATAGTACCAAGTCCATCAACCAACACTTCAAAAAAAGGGAGAAAACTGTGACCCGTCAAATCCAAGGAAGTTCAAACCTAATTATTTTTTTTTAATTAAATGTTCTCTGTGACTCAAGGCACAGGTTCTCTCATTGTTTAGGGAACTCATGCCCACAGGTAGGGAGAAAGGCTAAAGTGCTTTGCAATCTGCAATGCCTACAGCCAAAAGGGCCTGTCCATCAGCTAGGGCAGTGAGCCCTTTCTTTTTGGGGCTTTCCAGCCTCAAGCTCCAGCCTCTCTCCAAATCTCTGCCCCAGAAATGGGCAAAAATCCACAGATGAAGGTCATCCCCAGCCAAAGCCTGTGGGCTTTAGCAGAGTTAGACCACAAGAGGAACTCAGCTGATAAAAAGCAATAGAGAACAACCCAAAAATTCCTACCTCAAGATAACAAAAATTTACCCCAAACATGAAGCCCTTGACCAGGGACACAGGCCAAGTGAAAGCCTGGTTGGCTCCTGTAAAGATTTTGCTGCTGGTTCAAAGATGGGAGACACACTGGCAAATGTGGGGCTCAAGTCCCAGGCATTAACTGCCAGGACTTTTGCAAGGAAAAGCAAGTCCAAGCCAGGAACAGATGAGACAAACAGCTTTTCTATGGATCTGTTCAGC